AACAGCCCAATTGCCCATCAACTGGAGACTGGATAAAGAAGATGTGGTTTTCCTATAAAATGTAGTCCTTTTCATTCATAAAGAATGAGAAACTAGAGACTTTTTATAGCTAAATGAATGCCCATTGAGGCCATGCTCTTAAGTGAAATAGGGCATACTTGAGTCAATACTGAAAAGTTTCTCTGATGTGATGAACTAAAAGTGTAAATAAGTTTCAGATTGTATAACTGATAATGCAAAACAGGAAGAAAAGGTCTAAAGGAGAAGGGGAAGTTGGAAGGGTAGGTTAAAGGAAAGAAGGGAGAAGAAAAAATACGAAAAAAGGAAAAAAATGGAAACAAAGTCTTTGTAAATAGGGAAGGGTGAACATGGTGAAGGGAGGGTAGAGGAATGGGGAAACATAAGAATCAAGATGCATCATGTAAAGGTACAAGATCCCAGTGATGAATTTAACTGTACTGTCTACCTTCAATGTACCAATAAAGTTATTAAAATAAGAAAAATAGTTGAGGAAGTAGAGAAAAAAGATGAATAAAATAAAGAAAACAATAAAAATAAAGAGCTAAATGACAGAAACAACAACAACAACAAAATGCAGACAGAAAAAGGGAAATGAATCAAACAAAAACAAAATGAAGCAAAAACCCAATAAAATTCCTCTGTTGTTCACCGTTCTGTAGTAATGTCAAAGTCCAAGCCCCATACTGTGTGTGGTAACCCAGTCACGTGTGCAATAGTATTAGTGCTTTGTGTGGGGCTGTATTTGAACTCTGGATGTGGGAGCTGGTGCCAATCTCCAGCCAGGAAGTTTCTATATGTCCCTTGGTAGCCTGCCCATCTCTCCTTATCTTGTTTGTCTCTGTGTTGCTCTCCTAGTTGTTGTGGTGTTCTCAAACAGAAACAGCCAGAGGCTGCTCCCCTCCTGGTTCTTACACAGCCTCCACTTTCATGTTTCTCTCCCCTCTTATGCCACTCGACACAGGACTGGAGTAGTAGTGTTAGCAAGCACTCTGAAGCTGCCTTCCTCCCCCACCACTACCATAGTACAGTCAGCCCAAGGCTGCTTGCTCCTGTTTCAGTCTCCTTTCTAACAGGACAAGTCCTGATTTTTCAAAAGAGCCCCTTATGGCTTGTTATATAGATGTCTCCCAAAGCCTCACGGGATCGTAGGTGGGGCTTTTCAAAGGTTGTAAATCTGGCTGTGTAATGCTGGGATCAAAGAGGTGATTCTGGAATTAATTCACCAGTGCTAGGATTAAGGGTATCCCATCCTTGGTGTGAGTGCTACCTGCCCTAATTTGAATAGAACATAAGGGACAGAAAGGACTGATGCTGTTGCTGCTTGTTGTTTGCTGTTGTCACTGCTTGATGCTTGCTTTCTTCTGCCTTCCCTCCTTTGCCATTAACAATTTCTTCTCTGTGATGCCACTTACCATGCAATGCTGTCTCGAAGCGAGCCATGAATTTAAACCTCTACAAACTGTGAGAGACAATAAACCTTTCCTCCTTTAACTTTGGTTGTTGGGTATTTTGTCTTAGCAACAAGAAAGGTAACTAAGACAGAGCCAAAGTATTAATCTAAGTTAAATAAATACATAAATTATGGTGCACTCAAGCACCTTTTTTCAGCAATGCAAATATACTAAAAACTATACGCACTATATATGATTCTTACAAAAAATACTAGTCAAAGAAGCCAGAAATAAAACAATACATATAGAATGATTCTATTTATAAACATTTAAAAAGAGGCACAGACTAAAGATACTGATTATGTTTACATAGGCAATCAGAGTACTGACTGAACGGGTCAACAGTGACTTCTTTGTTGTTGACATGTGAGGTTTATAAAGGTGTTTGTTTTATGATCATCCTATGAAATGTACTTTTATTTATCCCTTTTCTGTTATACTTTTTAATGGATTAGAAAACCCTGAGTTGTATCAGTTTAGAATAATGTTAGATAAATTAAAAAGAGAAGCCATCATTTGTGCACTTAATTGGTTTGAAAGCTTTTCTACTTTTTGAGTCACAAAACCTTGTGTTTCTAACTAAACATATTTATCTAGCATACACAGTTGTGCACTTTATGGTTTTATTGTACTGATACTGCCTATGCCTATCTGCTTTGTTTTCCTGGGATTTTCTCCTTGTGAAACACCATTCCTAAGACTGTCAGTCATACCCACTGAAACACAATTGAATGCCCAAGTTTGTCTAAGACATCTAATAAACAGCTACTGTGACAAATATTGAAGTCATTCTCACTTTTGTTTCTTTCCACGCAGAATAAATACTGATACATGTTAGTATCATGTTAGTTTACAATATAGATAAGTCATGAAAACTTAGTCTCTTCCACAAGGCAGATACTCTTAACAATTCTGCTGACAAAGGCAGGCTAGGAGATGTTGCAGCCCTCTCAATCCTGATGTTATATTCTTTCCCAATAAAATACCCTAAATTCTTATAAACTTGACTAAGATGTTAAGTGTAAGTTCAGATTTACTGACTGTTGGTTGTACCAGTCCTATGATTTCAAGAGAAGAGCTTCTTTCAGAGCAGGAGTGAGTGGGCAGTTGTGGTCATTTTTCTCTCTAAGGGACATTTGGCAACATCTGGTATAATTTTAGATGTCACAACTTGGGCAAAGGAGAGTTGTTAATGGCTTGTACTGGGTAGAGGCCAGAGAGGCTGAAATATCCTGCAAAACACAGGAGGCCCTTCCATAACAATGAATTATCTGGCCCCAAATATCAACAGTGCCAAAGTTGAGAAATTTTCTGTTTTTCTGGGACAAGTTTGAAGTATTTTAAACCCTAGTCTTTACATCATCATTTTCTAATTTCTCAAGGCTGTCAGAGCTGCCCCTACACTGTAGTCCAGTTTATTTATTTCTCAGTTCCATCTTAATATTCTTCAACATCAAACACTTGTTACTAAAGGCTGTGTTCAACAGGGATTTTATTCCAGGTCATCACATATGGTAAATGAAATAACTGTTTCACTACTGCATGCCTCAGAGTATTAACATTTTATCACTGTTAATGAGATGCTCACTGTCTTTAGATCCAAACCATGTTGAATAATAGATCTCAAATTTCCAGTGTGGAAATTTCATTTAATTTTTGAATATTTTGTGCACCAGATTGTCAGTTTCAACATGTTCTCTTAGCCATGGGCATTTGTACATATATACCTTCCTTGATATAGAACACTTCTGTCTCCCCATCGCTCACTTACCAAGCTAGTTCAGATACTTTATGTCTAGATTTAACATTTTTCAGGGTGCCTTTCCTTGAGTGCATGCATGTTTTTCCCTGGGTAACATTGTAACACAATGTACAGTAATTTACTTTATTGTATATTCAACTCTGCCTTAAGCTCTGGCAGGGAAAAAAAGACAATCATTTTGCAAAAGGTACCTTCTTTAAATTGCTCCGCATACTATTTACTAAACATTTTTTGAGTTTAATATTATATTATTTATTCCCAGTTTACTATTATGAAAGAATTCCACGTTTCCACAATTTCATTATCTGATTTGACTTCTGCAAATTTCATTTAGTCTTTTGTAACTGTATTTCCCATGCTACGAACATTGCCATTCAGCTGAGTGTGGTTGCCCATGCCTGCAATCCCAGAACTTGGGTGGCCAGGGCAGGAGGATCCCTGTAAATGTAAGGCCTATCTAGGCTACAGAGTGTGTTCAAGGCCCGCCTGAACTATATAGTGAGATCCTGTGTCAAAAAACCAAACCAAAACAAAAAAACCCAAACTGCAATTCAATGTGTAGCTGTGCAATAAATGTATAAATTTATCCAAATTTTTCTCAATTTTTGGTATATAAAACCTTTAAAAACTATTAAGACTGCTTTAGATTCTAATAACAGATTCTAATTCTTCGATTTTAATAACATTTAAAAATAGTTAACATGTGAGTATATGTGGCATTTGTCATTGCTCAAAACTGTCATGTATTTGTCCTGATGTTTTTTTAGTTTAAAAATTCATTGTTAAAGGAATAAGCTCCCCGCATCGATACAAGACACGATTTCATATTCACGTAGATGCACACCCTAAGAAAAGTATTGTATATGCTTTAGTTTTTAGAAATGTCTTTCCAAAGTATAATAATCACTATAATCAAATGAATATTTTTTTCTCAGATTTTTTTCAAAGCAGGATTTAAGCACGGTCTATTGTGATTTTTATACTACTCTTGCAGAAAATATTTTAAGGGATGCTGTTTATGGAGGCAGCAGGTTAGTGTAGCTGTCGGTATCAGTTAAGGCTTTTGGTAGTCAAAGTAGTAAATGTGCGTTTGTGGAAAGGTTGCTCTCAGTCTCACAGTACTGTAAATATTTGAAAAAAACAAAAACAAAACCCCCAAATAAGAATTGGCTTCCCATAGATTTGGGATGAGGGGCGGCACTACGCGTGGAAAGGGCGGAACGTCAAAGGTTGTGGGCGGAGCTTCACTGGACCTGGGCGGGCTCTCCGCTCCTGCTCTACACTTCGTTCTCCACAGGCCTCCGAGGAGTTCGCGTTCCTAGCTGCGGTTCCCTCTCGGCTTCCGTTCGGCCGCCCCCTCCTACCCAAAGAGGAAGCGCAGCGGCGAGGACAGCGCACGCGCTCTGGGCTCGGGCTAGTCTGAGGGCAGCGCTCAGCCTGGCGTTTTCACTTCCTTCTTCTCAGAGCTGTATCCGGGTCGTTGCTTTCCCTATTGTCTAGGACAGTCGGCCTCGGACTGTGCAAGTCCTAGGTCTTTTGTTCCTTTTGGTGCAGTGTAATAAAGTCTTTCTTTGATATTTTTCCACCCGGGGAGTACTGGCGCCCCGGGGCTGCTGCCGGGCCGGAAGGCGGCTGTGGCCGG